ACGCAGATCTTCAGCATGATAAATTGGCCCCTTCACCCTACTCTTTGATTGTTGCAGTCAGTCAGTCAGTCAGTCAGTCAGTCAGTCAGTCATCCATCCACCCACCCACCCACTCCACCCACCCACCAGTGTGGCACACACTGGTTCAGGAAATAAGTTTACTGTATCATTCACTTTTTTTTTGGTATTATATCTCCCCTTTATTCTTTCATAACATGAAACATATTTGTATGTTTATATGTCTCTTTAATGATATGTTGTTAAGATTAAAGTCATATCATTTGTAAATGCTCACGCTTGGTAAGTATCAGAATAAGTGCTAGAATTACCCCCGCTTTTACTATAAGCCAAATTATGTGTACTCATTAAACAACCATTGTTGCAGCTTTCACCACCATCATGGTTGGAGCCAGCTGCTCCAATACCACTCTTACATGTCTGGAGCCAGGCTCCACGACCAATGGCTCCAACATCATCCCTGCACTCACTCATCACTGGCGGCAGGCTGATGAGACAGGTAAGTTTGTTTCTGTCAGTACACACCTGCAGTCTGTGCCAGAAGTCCCCCACCCCAACTTGGCATCATCTTCAGTATATTTATCCATGTTTACTGTGCCTGAAGTCCCCATCCCAGCTTGGCATCATCTTCAGTATATATGTCTCCATATTTACTGTGCCAGAAGTCCCCTAACCCCACCCCAAATTGGCATCATCTTCAGTATATGTCTCCATGTTTACTGTGCCTGAAGTCCCCCACCCCAGCTTGGCATCATCTTCAGTATATGTCTCCATGTTTACTGTGCCTGAAGTCCCCCACCCCAGCTTGGCATCATCTTCAGTATATGTATCCATGTTTACTGTGCCTGAAGTCCCCCACCCAAGTTGGCATCATCTTCAGTATATGTATCCATGTTTACTGTGCCTGAAGTCCCCACCCCAAACTTGGCATCATCTTCAGTATATGTATCCATGTTTACTGTGCCTGAAGTCCCCACCCCAAATTGGCATCATCTTCAGTATATGTATCCATGTTTACTGTGCCTGGAAGTCCCCCCACCCCAAATTGGCATCATCTTCAGTATATGTATCCATGTTTTACTGTGCCTGAAGTCCCCACCCCAAACTTGGCATCATCTTCAGTATATGTATCCATGTTTACTGTGCTAGAAGTCCCCACCCCAGCTTGGCATCATCTTCAGTATATGTATCCATGTTTACTGTGCCTGAAGTCCCCCACCCCAGCTTGGCATCATCTTCAGTATATGTCTCCATGTTTACTGTGCCTGAAGTCCCCCACCCCAAACTTGGCATCATCTTCAGTATATGTATCCATGTTTACTGTGCCTGAAGTCCCCCACCCCAGCTTGGCATCATCTTCAGTATATGTCTCCATGTTTACTGTGCCTGAAGTCCCCCACCCCAGCTTGGCATCATCTTCAGTATATGTATCCATGTTTACTGTGCCTGAAGTCCCCCACCCCAAACTTGGCATCATCTTCAGTATATGTATCCATGTTTACTGTTGACGTTTTGGCTGATTTAACTGCACCAAACAGAATTTTACTCAGGCTTCACACTTCACATTAGTGGCTTAAGTCACATACTGTGGTTTTGACAGAATCCCCAAAATACCAACTCAGGAGATAGTTTGTCTCTCAGTCACAGAACTGAGAATGTGAAATTAGCAATAAAACGTCATCCGTATCTGATGAGTTATTATTATGGTTTGGTATTCTTCATGTACAAGAAAACTGAATCAGAGCTCACATTTTACACTGTTGGCACCTCTCAAGCATGCCATGGTTCTGGAATGTGAGAAATAATTTGTTGGAATCCAGCACACAAGTGAAACATGCCCCACTTCTTAATCTTCCATAAAGCATGCTCACCATTGTCGGCTTTTTATTCAATAATATTATACTGACACACAAGCTTTAAAGTGTATGTTGAAATGTAATTTATCATCCAGAATGCACTCAGAATGCCTTAAAACAATAGATGCTGGCACAGACCGTATTGGAAAGTGTATTCAGAATATAAATCATTAGAATGAGATACCGTACATTGTTTATGCAAACTCAGTTCAGGGGCAGATACAGCTGTTTTAGAAAGGGGGCAAGGGTGGGGGAGTGGGGAGGTTGCATACTATTGAGAAAAGGGAGTGTGCACACTTCATTTTCACCCGAGTTTTAATGGTCATTTAATTAAGTTTCAAGAGGGGGGGCACCCCTGCATCCCCCTTCTGGATCCGCCTATGCAGTTTAATGCAAAAAATATGAGTGTCACTTTTGGGGCATTAAAGAAGTCACACATTGTATGGTGGAGGAACTGGGGTATGTTGTCATATCATGCTCACTGCTCATGGGCAGAAAGAATAACATATATATATACCAAAGCTTATAATAAATGAAGTTATTTATGCGAGCGCTTCTATTTAGACAGTGGTCCTTACCCAGTTCTGGGTCAAGTGTGGCAAGTTTGTTGATCAAGCTGTTATGACAGTCACAGTGTATGAAGGTGTCTTTGATCTTCCTGAACTGGTTATAATTTTTAATTACAATCAAAACATTACACCACTATGAAAACATTACACCACTATGAAAACATTACACCACTATGAAAACATTACACCACTATGAAAACATTACACCACTATGAAAACATTACACCACTATGAAAACATTACACCACTATGAAAACATTACACCCTATGAAAACATTACACCACTATGAAAACATTACACCACTATGAAAACATTACACCACTATGAAAAACATTACACCACTATGAAAACATTACACCACTATGAAAACATTACACCCCTCTATGAAAACATTACACCGATATGGAAAACATTACACCACTATGAAAACATTACACCACTATGAAAACATTACACCACTATGAAAACAAAGCAGAAGCACTCATAATGAAACCATAACACACACTCATTTATGTTCCAAGGATTGTAACAACACTTGTAACCCTGAAATCTTTGTTGTTAGCTACATCCAAATTTCAATTTATGCTATTCAAATATCCCAGTTTTGATATCATGTCAAGCACATGAAGTTAAGTTTTGAGGAAAACAAATGATATTATTCAGCCAAAGTTCTTACCAAGTTTACACCTGTTTGCTGATTAGATTGTATGGTTAAATACAAGGTGCTGAAGCCACCTTAGCGTTACCACTGTCGTAAGTCTGTATTAATGTATGGGAGTTACAATCACCTCAGTGCTAAGATCATTTATACAATGGCACCCAGGTCTACACGCATTAATATCATGAAACGTTTTAATCTAGGAGTCAACATAAGTCTATATGAGTCATAAATTTCTTGATATACAGAAAGTATATCATGCCTTCGACAACCAACATGCCCATGTATGAACTAAGCAACCAAGTTCCTCACAGTGAAACAGTATGTGTTCTTTATGTCGAGGCTAATGACGTTAGCTTCCTGTTAAACCCTCAACAGTTATTGGGGGTTGGACCAGCCTGCACCGCACAAACCAGTGATGTATTTTCTGTACATCAACATCCCATCCCAGTACTTTAATGGCGAAAATTGTAAATACATCTGTACATAGCTATGAAGAACACAGATGGGTTATGCAAACCTCAATTAATACAAACATGACGCTTTATGCACGGGTCCACAGATGGGTTATATAGTATGTTTGATCTTCGGATGATCGCCTGGAGGAAATAAAGACTCTCTCTCTCTCTCTCTCTCTCTCTCTCTCTCTCTCTATCTCTATCTCTATCTCTATCTCTATCTCTCTCTATCTATGTATGAAAACATTACACCACTATGAAAACATTACACCACTATGCTGTCAACATGGGGTCACTTGCAACCAACCAGGTCCCTACTGACCAGTCCAGTAATCCTTTGTCTTACAACCAGCCTTTAACCGAGAAAGCCCTGCACAGAGTAATTCAATCATGGCATGGTAAATCTTGTAACCAGTTGATTGTTGATTGTAATTAACCAAGTCAACTGGCTTGACCTCTGAATCCATTAACTTGCCTTGTATGATGAACATGGAAGTAAAGGTGTCATCCTTTAGGACAGAGCTTGTTTTGTAATGCACTGTATGCACATTGCTAACTTCAGGGTTCAACCCAGGGAAGAGACCTCACTCCCACTTACACATATTTGTGAATTTGTGAAGTGAAATATTAAATGCTATATCAGGGTTATAACTCGCCCCCAGCATGATCATAAACCATGGTAATAAACTGCTTAGTAAATGGATCAATTAACACACTCATTGACTTGGTTGTCATTGAAAGGTGTCATTGTAAGGTGTCATCGTATTATCCTGATGTCAGTTACAGGACTGGGTCCAGACATGATTGTTTACAGATGGCTGATATGTAGATGAAATGTTGCATATATATATATAGATGAAATGTGGCTGATATATAGATGAGATGAAATGTGGCTGATATATAGTTGCTGATATAGCGAGGAATGTTGCTGATATAGCGTGGCTGATGTTGCTGATATAGATGAAATGTTGCTGATATATATATAGATGAATGTTGCTGATATAGATAATGTTGCTGATATAGACGAAATGTTGCTGATATAGAGACGAAATGTTGCTGATATAGAGACGAAATGTTGCTGATATATAGACGAAATGTTGCTGATATAGAGACGAAATGTTGCTGATATAGAGATGAAATGTTGCTGATATATAGACGAAATGTTGCTGATATAGCGGCGGCGAAATGTTGCTGATATAGCGATGAAATGTTGCTGATATAGCGACGGAAATGTTGCTGATATAGCGACGGAATGTTGCTGATATAGAGATGAAATGTTGCTGATATAGCTGACGGAATGTTGCTGATATAGAATGAATGTTGCTGATATATAGGAATGTTGCTGATATAGCCGGCGGATGTTGCTGATTAGCGAATGAATTTGCTCAAATGCATATAGCAATGTTGCTGATATAGAGACGCGAAATGTTGCTGAAAGCGAAATGATATAGAGACTAAATGTTGCTTTTGTTGTCAAACAACAAATAAACGTAAATGTTTATGCTTTTTCAGTAAATGTTAGATTATGGTAATGACTGACATAATGAGGTAACAGTGCCTGTTTGTGTTTTCAGCCCAGGACTGCCTGGCGTACATGCAAAATGGCAGTGAGTTGATAAAGGTGTGGTCAAACAGTCGTCAGTACCACCGCTTCTTCTCACTCAGTAATGACATGACAGAGATCCTATGGCAGCCTACTTCAAAGAAAAGGCACAAAGCAAGAAGTAAGTTGCATTATGTTGTCAATTCCATTCTTATCTGCATCTTAGCCTTGCTCATCACACATAACACACTCACCCTCTTTCCCTGGATCTTGAGTGCTGAAAACATGGCCTTTCATAAACAGTTGTTTCATATGCCAGTGTTTTCCATCAGCCAGGCCTTTAGGGTTTCATCTTCCAGGATGTGTTTTTGCCCCATCAGGTGCCCAAGGATGGAGTTGTCGGCCTTGGTGACTTGAGTGTGCCATCATATCAGATGATCTGCATCACTGTTCCCAATGTCAGTCACTGGTTTGCCTTTTACAAGGAAGGTGTGGTAGGGCTTTGTGACTTGAGTGTGCCATCATATCAGATGATCTGCATCACTGTTCCCAATGTCAGTCACTGGTTTGCCTTTTACAAGGGAGGTGTGGTAGGGCTTGGTGACTTGAGTGTGTCATCATATCAGATGATCTGCATCACTGTTCCCAATGTCAGTCCTTTTACAAGGAAGGTGTGGTAGGGCTTGGTGACTTGAGTGTGTCATCATATCAGATGATCATCACTGGTCAGTAACTGGTTTGCCTTTTACAAAGAAGGTGTGGTAGGGCTTGGTGACTGGAGTGTGCCATCATATCAGATGATCTGCATCACTGTTCCCAATGTCAGTCACTGGTTTGCCTTTTACAAAGAAGGTGTGGTAGGGTAGCCTAGTGGTTAAAGTGTTCTCTCCTCAAACTGAAGACACGGGTTCGAATCCCCACATGGGTACAATGTGTGAAGCCCATTTCTGGTGTCCCCCGCCGTGATATTGCTGGAAGATTGCTAAAATCGGCGTAAAACCATACTCAGTCAGTCAAATTTGGTGACAGCCTACAATGGGGAATTACGCAGACACCAGTTGATTTGGGTGACCTTGACCTTATCTTCCAGGTCACCACGATACTTTGACCACTTTTCAAACTTATGTAAACGCGATATCTCATAAAACATTGCACCCAGTGTGTTCAATTATGTCGACAGCCTACATTGGGTGATTATGCAGACACCAGTCATTTCAGACATCTTGTATGTGACCAAAAACTAAAAAGTAGTAAATATGTTATAAATATTTCATACTTCTTTAGCGGCGGGGGACATCGCCATATTAGTGGCAAACGCTTGTTGTTTAATGTGACACCCTGCAATATTCTAGCAATATGGCGGCGGTCTGTAAATAATCGAGTCAGACAAACCAGTGATCAACATGAGCATGTCAACCAACTATGCGAGCAAGCTCATCTAAATATCCTTTGAAATTTAATACTTCTTGTATATTGACAAAGAAAAATAGCTATAAACAATTTATGTTTGTCAATTTTTAATTTATTAATTTTTTTTAGAGTTGCCTATAGATCTGTATGACATATGCAAACATATGTAGCCTAGCAATACCCTGCCTATGTTAAGTTTATCCTTCAAAGTACATCCATGATAGCTGAATATTTTCAAGATCTGTTTAACTTGGAATGTGGAAATTGAGTTTATTTGACATATTTAAGCTATTTCCGAGCCATGGTTTCCTACTGTTGGTGAGTATTTGCTGTGTAATCAAGGGAGTGTGAAGTATGCATCGTACACGAGAGGGGACATGGTTTCCTACTGTTGGTGAGTATTCGCTGTGTAATCAAGGGTGTGTGAAGTATGCATTGTACACATGGTTTCCTAGAGGGGGTGTGTGGAAGTACATGGTTTCCTACTGTTGGTGAGTATTTGCTGTGTAATCAAGGGAGTGTGAAGTATGCATTGTACACGAGAGGGGACATGGTTTCCTACTGTTGGTGAGTATTCGCTGTGTAATCAAGGGAGTGTGAAGTATGCATTGTACACGAGAGGGGACATGGTTTCCTACTGTTGGTGAGTATTTGCTGTGTAATCAAGGGAGTGTGAAGTATGCATTGTACACGAGAGGGGACATGGTTTCCTACTGTTGGTGAGTATTTGCTGTGTAATCAAGGGAGTGTGAAGTATGCATTGTACGAGAGGGACATAGTTTCCTACTGTTGGTGAGTATTCGCTGTGTAATCAAGGGAAGTGTGAAGTATGCATTGTACAATTTTCCTTACTGAGGAGGGGACATGGTTTCCTACTGTTGGTGAGTATTCAAGTAATCATGCTGTGTAATCAAGAGTGTGAAGTATGCATTGAAGTATAAGAGGGACATGGTTTCCTACTGTTGGTGACACTGTGTAATCAAGGGTGTGTGAAGTATGCATTGTACACGAGAGGACATGGTTTCACTGTTGGTGAGTATTTGCTGTGTAATCAAGGGAGTGTGAAGTATGCATTGTACACGAGAGGGGACATGGTTTCCTACTGTTGGTGAGTATTTGCTGTGTAATCAAGGGTGTGTGAAGTATGCATTGTACACGAGAGGGGACATGGTTTCCTACTGTTGGTGAGTATTCGCTGTGTAATCAAGGGTGTGTGAAGTATGCATTGTACACGAGAGGGGACATGGTTTCCTACTGTTGGTGAGTATTTGCTGTGTAATCAAGGGAGTGTGAAGTATGCATTGTACACGAGAGGGGACATGGTTTCCTACTGTTGTAATCAAGGGTGTGAAGTATTTGTACACCCAGGAGGGACATGGTTTCCTACTGTAATTCAAGGGAGTGTGAAGTATGCATTGTACACGAGAGGGGACATGGTTTCCTACTGTTGGTGAGTATTTGCTGTGTAATCAAGGGTGTGTGAAGTATGCATTGTACACGAGGGGACATGGTTTCCTACGAGGGGACATGGTTTCCTACCGGTTGTTGGTGAGTATTTGCTGTGTAATCAAGGGAGTGTGAAGTATGCATTGTACACGAGAGGGGACATGGTTTCCTACTGTTGGTGAGTATTCGCTGTGTAATCAAGGGTGTGTGAAGTATGCATTGTACACGAGAGGGGACATGGTTTCCTACTGTTGGTGAGTATTTGCTGTGTAATCAAGGGTGTGTGAAGTATGCATTGTACACGAGAGGGGACATGGTTGTCAAATAAATATCTCACAGCCTTGTATTAGACTTGGTTGGAGTTTTAACATAATCTCCATTTGCTTTGTTTTTAAAATTCAATACTCCTGTTAATCACTGTTTAGTGTTCGAAAAGTCATTTAGAAGTTGTCAGAACACTGTGTAGATGGTAAAGAAGTTGTTGCATTTCAGATATATTATTTTTCTCTGGTCAAGTCATTTTCAATCAATGACTAAATTTCCACCAAGGAAAAGTAACATTCGTAAACTGGGGGTCTTGGGAGATTGTGTATTTTAATCCAGTTGATGAAAAGCTTAATTGAACACACAAACAATATCCTAATTAAGGTCACTGCTCAATTCTCCGCAAGGGTACAATGTCACTCACTCACTCACTCACTCACTCACTCACTCACTCACTCACTCACTCACTCACTCACTCACTCACTCACTCACTCACTCACTCACTCACTCACTCACTCACTCACTCACTCACTCACTCACTCACTCACTCACTCACTCACTCACTCACTCACTCGCTCGCTCGAGTTGAAAGGTACCTGTTTGAAGAGTACATAAGAGCTGCTATCTCCAGGACAGTTAACAATGCATAAAGCCAGCTGATGCTGCTAAAAATGAAATATTCTATGATGCTATGAAAAATTGAGCCATGTATAAACACAGTAATGAAATTAAATACTGAATAAACATCCCAGCTGACCTTAGTCTCTCTCTGTTCCTGAAGATATGGTGCTAGTATAATCATGTAGTTATTATTATTAATGATTGATGTGGTTTAAGAGAAGAAGAAACTATCACATTAAAATAATGGCATAGATCATGTGATGATGTGAAAAAGGCCTGTTTGAGTTGTATAATAAGCGTCACCATAGTAACAGTAATGTTTTTGTGATGTATTATGACTATAAGTGCTCTGTATCAGTTGATATGGATATCACGGATATCAGATTGCAAATGTTGACGCATAATCATGTTATAGCACCTTTTGTATATCTCAACGGGCAAAAATAGGAAAGGTTGGAAATATAGGCCAGTGTATTTTCACTAACCAGTTTTTGTAAAAACAGTAAAATTTGATACATACAATGACAATTAACTTTAGCCACAATGTGTTGATGATCACATTTTTGTGCATATAATTTAACAAAAATATTAGGTTTGTCACATTTAAAAATTAGATAAGCAAAGTATTACATAACTATACATGTGTATATTTATACATTTGTGTGTATACTTCTGTCATGGTTATAAACAGAAGATTTGTATACACAAACGGTTCAAGCCATCAGTGGTTTTGCATTGAACACATGGAGCATTGTTCAAGGTCTGTTAGTACTTGGGAACAAGGATGTGAGACTTACCCCAGGGTTTTGTTAGTACTTGGGAACAAGGATGTGAGTCTTACCCAAGGGTTTTGGTTGTGGGATTCATCAATTCATTTCCATAGGAACGGTTGAACCTATGTTTAGCCATTATAAAGAATCAGCATAAGTGGATTGGTGGTCCAGCTCTGTCGGTTGTCGTGACTACTTTGGATGTTGCTCATGATATCGATCACAGGTTTCCCTCATCAAGACTTGATACAAGTACCCTGCTACAACTGATGTGTTGATAACAGTCGTAAAACAGCATTCACTCCATGCTTGGATTTTAAAACTTTTGTTGAAAGGGGCTTCACAAGTACAACTATTGATTATAAGGGTCAAGGTAGGTGGTTGGCTTATCTATGAGATCGGTTATCTACTGTAATATACGGTAAGTATTGACAGAATCAATGCAGGATGACTGTGTTTATTTGAAAGAAGGCAAACAGTGCAGTATGGTAATAAATATTGCTCTGAGTAACCAGCATCACTATGCAGGGAATTACTGGTTCTTTCATCAAGAAAGTATTTGAAGCTTGTGAGTATGTTTGAAGTCTTTAACTTAGTTACTTAGAGAGTGTTTGATTCACAAGTTTAAATATTCATGGTGAGGTGTCGGTAGCCAATGTTGAATAATTCA